TCATCCGAATATGTTCTATACAGGTGCCCTGAGGATATCTATAAACAAGCACTGACTTGTATTGGCCTCATCCGAATATGTTATATACAGGTGCCCTGAGGATATCTATAAACATGCACTGACTTGTATGGGCCTCATCCGAATATGTTATATACAGGTGCCCTGAGGATATCTATAAACATGCACTGACTTGTATGGGCCTCATCCCAATATGTTATATACAGGTGCCCTGGGGATAGATACAAATTTGTACTTGTGTAGGTTGGTTGCATATTATAAAACACAGTCTTTGCACTTAACTACCTGGGAGAAGACCGTGCATCCACCCACTCTAATAAACATCGCCCATATGACCCTGTCAGTATCTTGAGAAGCATACACACCAGCACATTCTTAGACGTACCTGGTATGCAGTGGATGATGCTGGTGCAGTCATGGCTTCTGCGTACTGGCCATTCTCAGCCCTTCGAGAGACCCCATCGCCACCCGCACTGTCGCCTGCGTCGGCCAGCGGTGCCGTTGCCATGGCAGCGTACTGTGCGTTGGCCTGTGATGTGGCCATGGCTGTGTGGTGTGGGTTGTTCTGTGGTGGTGTGGCATTGTGCTGCTGCCCATGTGTGTGTGTTGTGTATTCCATTGGTACGTTACTAGTGTTTGTATGTCGCTCTGGTTCGTCTGGTTGTGTGTTAATATCAATGTCTGTCTGTGGCAGCGTGTGCGTGTCTGAGTGAGCCTGGGGCTGCACAGCCGTGTGCGTATGAACCTGTGAGTCTGCGTGTATGTGTGGGTGAGGGTGGGTGTGGGCGTGGGCGTGAGGTTGTAGATCTGTTTGTGCATTTGTGTCGTCATCGGTGTGTGTGCCCATGAGAGTGCCATCATGTGTGTGTGTGCTCATGAGAGTACTTGTGGTGGGGTGGGTGTCTTCATTGTAGTGTGGGCTGTCGTTGACTCTGCTCTGTGTATTGCGATGTGCATCGTTGCTTAGTGAACTGATGTCGTGTGTGTGTATGTGTTTGTAGACATCTTCGCCTGGTTTGGCGAGCAGCATAGACGTAGCTTTGTCCGTGTGTATTTGCGCACCTTGGTCTGCACCCGAATTGGATGCGTGGGTTCCCTCTTGTCCGTTTTCAGGTTCATTTGGGCCTGCGGAGGTGGTGTGTTGGTCCGTTGTCTGCCCCAACTCAGGTGCATATGTGTCCTGCTCTAGGCTGGGCGGGTGCGGGTGCGGGTGCATGTGCGCCTCGTAGTTTGCGTGCGTAGCCATGTGTGTTTCTGGTTGTATAGGGCCATGTGTGTGTGTGTGTGTGTGTGCTTGTGTGTGTGCGTGTGCGTGTGTGTGTGCGTGTGGGGTGGGTGGTGGTGAGGTGCTTTGCCTGCCATCCACGCGTGCATACTTTCTGCTGCCCCCACTCTCGCCCACACTGTCGAGTGAGAGGCCTTCGCCGTTAGACATTTCATGCCGCTTGTTGGTTGTGAGGGTCACCTGAGATGTGCAACGGATTTGAAGTGTGTCAGTTGCCTTGAGCTCAGTACGTCTGTGAGGATCAGAATTGCGGCCGAAAACACTCTATGAATTGTTCGCAGCGGACAGAAGCGATACTCCTTGGAAGTGAGAGTACTCCACAAACCCAATAGGATGGACGGTTAGTTATATATTAGTTCTTCTGGATAACTAGTTATGTACTAATTCTTCCGGACAGATAGTTATGTAATAGTTCTTCTGGATGGATAGTTATGTGTCAGTTCTTCTGAATAGTTAGCTATATATTAGTTCTTATGGATAGATGCTATGTATTAGTAATTCTGGACAATTAGTTATGTATTAGTTCTTCTGGATAGATAGTCATGTATTAATAATTCTGAATAAGTAGTTATGTACTAGTTCTTCTGAATAGATAGTTATGTATTAGTAATTCTGGATAATTAGTTATGTTTTAGCTCATCTGGATAGTTAGTTATGTATTAGAAATTCTGGATAATTAGTTATGTGTTAGTTCTTCTGGATAGTTAGTTATGTATTAACAATTCTGGATAATTAGATATGTATTAGTTCTTCTGGATAGTTAGCTATGTATTAGCAATTCTGGATAATTAGTTATGTATTAATTCTTCTAGATAGTTAGTTATGTATTAGAAATTCTGGATAATTAGATATGTATTAGTTCTTCTGGATGGATAGCTATGTATTAGTTCTTCTGCAATCGGGTAGTTTTCCGTGATTCGTGGATTGTGGGAATAACCAGAGCTGTTCGCATACTGATATGTGTTTTTGTACTCTGTTACTGATTTTCAATATCGCATTCTGGCACTAGATCTAAGTTGATTTGCAACACCTGATAGATCTAGATTCACTTGCAACTCTTCATAGATCTGAATTCACTTGCAACTCCTCATATATCTCGATTCACTCACACCTTCCCATATATCTAGATACACTTGGAACTTCTCATAGATCTAGATTCACTTGCAACTCCTCCTAGATCTAGATTCACTTGCAAATTCTCGTAGATATACATGCACTTGCAACTTCTCATAAATCTAGAGTAAGGCATGTTGTAAACTTTGCTGGCAAAGATTTGCAGTGCAATGCCTTCTAGAGCGTTCTCATCATAATCTCAGGCGAAGCACTTAAGTCATAAAACTTCCCGTCCCACAGTGGTCATCAGACTCTGACTATTTGTAAAGCCAAGGGCACTCAACATCTGCGTATCACTGTAGCTTGATAACAGCTAAAAACTATTCTAGAAGTACACTATCCACTGCTGTTAGTCTGTGGGGTTGATCAGCTACGGAGAGTGAAGGTGTGGCAAGAATACAAAACACTGATGCACTAGTACCGAACTTTCCAACTGCAAAAAAGAATACAGCCGTGTTCACGATGGCGATTGCCGAGCGACATCAAGTGTCCACTCAATACTGCACGGCTCAAAATTCGCGTCGTTGTATATATACTACTGATTTGCTGTGATATGGCACAACCAAGCTTATAATTATTGCAAAGTATTGCCTGACTCGGGCATTTATTACACGCGTGACGTAAGTTGTACGCATGCTGTGGGCTTCACAAAGATTTCATAGTTTGGTGCAGATACTACGATACATCCCAATGGACGCTGTGGTTGGCAGAGCCACTTGACCACACAGTCGAGGTGCGATAGATGGTTGCCCGACATAGTAAGTACTAGAGATAGCAAAAACGCAAGCTCTGATTGATGAATGTTTAAAATGCACTGTTTGAGTACCGTTTGTATAATAGTATGCTGCACAGTGCGGTTTTTGTTTATCATATTATTAACTGCACAGGGTAGCTTGTACTATATGTCGGTTAGCAATTTTTCTTTGGGCAATAGATTCGGTTCACGTGCGACATACTTTAGCGTCTGAGGTAATGTAATTTCTTTTCATTCATCGCTTTAATCAAATGCGATGAGGTTTGAGGCCTTTGTATTTTATGTATTGTTGTGTTGCAACGAGAAATGAACTGGCCGGATACAAGCATGCATTGAAGGCAAGCGCGCAATCACGTTGATACGTTATTTCTCCGTATCACAGCATGGGAAACGGGTGTATCGTTATAATAGGATATAGGATCAGGTCTAAAGGGACTTGAATAGAAAGACGAATGTGATTCTAGTGCATTAAACGCGGCAACTGTGAAAGTGACCCCGTTTGGAAACGAGGTACAATTCAAAGAGTTTGCCGTCCAAACTCAAACTCAATACAGACAGAATCGATTACAGTGGGATCACCCGCCATGTCAACCATGTATTCTTCCGAATAAGCTTCTGTTTACCTGAATTGGGACCTGTGATTCGTGAGTCTTATCGGCGTCCATCTCATCATCTTGATGCATATCGGCTTATCAGCTAACATGCGAATTTATTTTTATCCTAAAAGCCTAATACTAGATATTTAAATAGTGAAATAATAAGCGAGCGTGTTTTCACTCGTGCTGTCGGGTGTATTTCAGACAAAATCAGCAACCGGAACTTGAAAGCACACCCTACAAAATAGTCTCCGTTATTCAGAGAGTAAGGCCCTGTTCTGCAACTCAATATTACGGCCATTTTCGACGAAAATGTTCATTTTTGCAAAACAAACAAAAAGGCCATTTTTCAAAATTCAAAATGGGCATCTTCTCAAAAAATCGTTTTGCAACTCGACATTGAAAAATGACCATACTTCCAAAATCACCTTTTTGAACATCTATAATCGCGTTTTTACAAAAGTTTCAAAAGCTGTTTTTGTAAAAAAGAATGACCATTTCTTTGAATTCACGTAAAATTTCTTTTGAAACTGTACAAAATACTCTTTCAAAAATAGAATCGGCGATATGTATGGTTGATCATTATGTAATATGATTCGTTCTTTCGTGGAAAAGGGCACGTTGCTATACGAATTATGAAAGTAACGTGCATGGTAATAATGTGCACAATGTCAAAACATAATAGGAATACTACACGCCAAACACCAAAGCAATAATTATTATAGCTATACACACTATGGCGAACATGATGTTAATAAGCCTAATGTACTTCTGGCAACTATTGTAAGTGTCATCGCGTATGCAGCTGTGGGTGCCGCAACCACGACAGTAGAGGCTACGGGCAGAGATCGTGGTGAGTATCTCACATTAAATGCTGATTATACAAGAGGCGCTCGTATACTATCGGAGAAAATTAAGAGTAGTGTCTTATTATCGTAAACGTCTTGATATCGTATAGTCAGCCTAGAGGAGACCGACTTTTACATATTTTCAAGTTTGAATACGCTATCAATATTATGACGAAAGGGAAAAATAAGACAGTGAATGTAGCTAAGGCTGCAAACGCAAAAGGGTTTACTGTAGGCGAAGAACAGCAGAAAACACCCCCGGCACCATCAGTAGAAGCGGAAGCAATTGAGATCACGCCGGTACAACCGGTACCAACTCTGACTAAATGGAATCGTAAGATGTTGGTTGACTCGGGTGTAGGTGCATCCGGAGGTAATATGACTACGGAGCCACAGAAGCCACCAGCGAAGAAGGCGAAATCTCGAAATTAAAAGCCGAGAAAACGCAATCCTCGGAAAATTCAACTTCAGAAGAAGTGCGACTTGCACTGGAATCAGATGTATCATCCCCACCAGTGGACACGCGCACAGCACGTAGGCAGGATCCTACTTATTATATGATAGCAAGGGATAGCAGAACTTTCCTGAAGTACTACCAACCAATAATACATGAATTTAGACCTACTAAGCAACGGAAGAAAAAGTAAGCCGCAGCGAAGGATCAAAGTCATGGTGAATCAGGGGAGGATGACTCGGAGGATGAGCCAATAGCACAAACACTGTTGGATCAACCCCAAATCAACGTATCGGAAGAAAAACTGCGTTTCGAGGATATAGGTCCGGATGATGTGGACCATACAATTCACCATTAGGACGACGATTCGGACACCAGGTTGGATTCACAATTCCTGCGCTTACCCAAAACACCACTCCGACCGGCTTGGCGACAGAACATTGATCTGGGCCATCCATACCAGACTCAGATTGATATCCAAGAGGAGGGTCAACGAGAGTTGATCCGTCTGTAAAGGTCGGTCTCCTCTAGGCTGACTGTACGATGATAAGACATTTACGTTAATCAGACTACGTTAATACGTTAAAATTCAATATGTTAAATAATTTTAGCTTCAGCCCTTGGTAATGAGCAAAAGATTAGGG